AATCGTGTCATATCCCTAAAATATTGCATAGGCTAAGTAGTTAGGGCCGGTTTTTTGCTCTGAAGCTCACGTTGTGCCTGTAAATGCATCCAAGCGTTCGGATAACCGTTGTAGTACCGTTGAGCTCGCATGTTTGCTCAATTTTGGAGTCAGGCGATTGCAGATACCTATAATTGGGTATATTAATTAATATAAATGGATGGCTCGTTTAGAATGTACTGTTTTATCCACTACCAGTTCTCAGAAGGGAGTAGTTATATCTTTTCAAGGAAACTTTATGTATTATATATATTAATGGAATCTTCGATAGGGTCATTGTTATTACTTTTTAAAATTTTACTAGTAATAAGTAAGAGTAAGATAAGAGCGTTTTTCAGAGATAACATTCTTTTCCATTTTCCTCTATCTTTTTCTTTCTATGTCTAGAAAAAAGATATGAGTTTCAAGACAAGGAATGCTGTAATAAGAGAAAAGTTTTGGAAGAAATCGGGGGTGGAATATTTTGGTTCATCATAAATAGTATTTTTGACTCATCACTTACCATCGGCAGCCAATTACACGCTCTACTTTAGATCCGTCAAGCTCTTGTGAAACACATGCCACGGGCTTATGTCCGAATGAATCTGGACGAATCTGTAACGGTAGAGATGATTCTGTTTAGGTTAAATGCAGGTTTTGATTACGATAACCCATACCTCACACTGATATACGGAATCACCCTCGGTATAGCGATCTCCATCATAAAGACGTTTGCTTCGATGTTGACAGCCGATGCAAACCTTACGGCAGCGTCCACCATCTTTCTTACAGTAGTACACGAATTCACCATCCTAAAGAAGGATATGAGAGCACAGAGTTGGCCAATAGGGTTTAATTGGCAACGTGTTGCAACTTACCGGCCATTGTTCTCCAACTTTATAGTGTTGACCATTATGGATGCATCCAACACTGCACATTCGAATGCTACCGTTAAAATCTTGACGGCATTCATATCTGCAAATTTGAAAATCAGTTGAAAGGAAAGCGCTAGTTGGGTATTTGAAGAATAAGACTTCATTTATTGGATTATCAGATGTCTGAGTGTTTAGTTTTTATAGAGAAATCAAATTCGCTTTTTGTTTTTTAAAACTCATAAGATTTAAGCTCTCATTTACTAGACTGAGTAGCTTCCAACGTAAAATTCTAGCTTAGAATCAACTTTCACTTTTCTGCGCTGACGAAATATGACATTTATTAAAGGAAGCCTGTTTTTAATACGTTTTTTTTGTCGTTTTGAAAACATAAGTGCATCTGCAAAGGTGCAGCGCCTGTATTCTCAGAACTAGTTA